TGTAATCAATGATAGAAAAAGTTTAATAAAAGAAACAGAAAAACTGTGCTTGGTCAATATTGCTATAGTAGCTGCTCACATAGCAAGAAACATTATCTATTTGGGTTAGATTTCCAGAGCATCCTAGATCAACAAAAATTAATTTCACTTCATGTTTGTTTTTTTTGTGAGGCTAGTGAGAAAACTGAGATCCACGGGTATTTTACTGCTTGAGAAGCTCTACTACCAACAGTGGAGTCTGGTCTTCAGCAGAGTAAGAATGCCTGAATCAGATGATCTCAGATTAAGAGCTGGACTACACTCTTGCAATGAATTCCAAAAATAATCTGGAGCTAAACTAATAAATTGCTTATCTGTAAGTAGGAGAACTTTGAAGTCCACTCTAAATTTTGCTAGGAACCAGCACAATTTAAAGAAGACTCAAGTTATGTGTTGATTCAAAGTGCTTCCAGTTAGCAAATAAGGTACAGAATTGTGGCATTACTGAGGCCTGTTTTGTGCTTTAGAAGATATTCCAGTATAGTACCATGATATAAAGGCACTATGTCAGCATGGGACAGGCCAAGAAAGGGTCTTTACTGAGCAAAGTTACACAGGTAGAAGAAATCATTGGACAGATATAACCACAACTTTTAAACACTTGTAGCATTTGAGCTAAGCGAATGGACCTGTTTTACAAATGGCTAGAGCTGACTGCAATGGCCATGTTTTTGTGTTTTTGAAACACGTTTTAAATAGAATCATACTGCTATATGTATTGCCCTATTCTCTGATCTAATATGAGATGCCGACAAGCCTTCAGGACAACACTTACAGTGTATAAACACAGTAAATTTCCCTCGTCACATTTACCCCATGGTACTACTGATCAGAAATTATATTTTGATGATATTCCAAGCAGGAGCCCTAAGAATGTTACAATATGTCACCTCAGCGCCTTCTTAAATTGAAAGCTATATAAAGCTGTAATCATTAGTACAAGAAAGCAATCAGGATAATGACACTATATTTTCTCAGTCTGTTTTTTTCCTCTGGGAGTCACCCACTTATCTGTTTGCCTGATCAAGTGACCTCAGATTCAGTTTGCATCAGGACCAGGAAATTTTCTAGTTCATTAGGCCGATGCAGATGCTCATACACTTGTATGTCAAAGTTATATTTATAAATGTCACTCACAAAAGCACACAAAGGAACCTGCAGCAATAAAAGCATTAAAGGCCCTGTGTGTCTTCAGTATTACATTTTGGGCCAGATTTCACTGAAGACATAAAGGTCAATAAAGACCGTAATTATTCTTCTGAATGGCTTGAGAGTCATGCTATTTATTTAATGGGTACAATAAACTATATGAATTTAATCTGACTAGGGTTTATAAAAGGTGTTGCACTCAATTTAAAATAATTATATTTCCCATAATAATTTACTTGTGTTGTCTTTCACTACAGGTCCTCTTTGGCAATTATGCACCAGAGACAAAATTCACACAAAAGCCACATCTGGTTAGCAGGTGTCTCTCGTAGAAGGTGTCTTCACCATTAAGAAAAAGCATGTCCTTCAGTATTTTCATGTCCTTGGAGACTTAATGAAAAACTGGACAAGGGCATAGACTTCTCTTTTCTCTAAAACGCTTCGGTACTCCATTGAGTAAAATTTGTATATTTTATTTTTGTTGTGTAAATATATTAGTTTTATTTTTATAAGCCAAAAAGAAGCTCAAGCCCTACAAAAAAACAGCCTTACTGCTCCCTTCTCAGAAGTTAGAAATGATACTCCAGTCCAACCAACTTGGAGGATGCTTGACTGTGTCCCCTCCAGAATCTGAGAAATTGAGCCTCTAGGCTCTAGGATCTGATTAATTCAGTTTTAAGGTGGTATCATTATGGGAGGGTTAATAATATGAAGTGAACACTTGGTTCTTTTGAATTGTCAGGTTAAAAAATAATTTGGGACACAAGTATAATACTGTTTCTTATCTTAAAAGAACTATTTTGTAGTATGCTTAACTGTGATAGCTTTTCTTGACTGAGGCATTTTATCTTACAGTCCAAACAGCAAAGGATCTGGGATAAGCCCTGTAACAAAGCGAAATACGTCATGCTCCTGCTTGCCCTGGGCGACATTGCAGACTAAGATAGCAACTAAAAGTACGAACCAGATTAAAGTATAAAATTATATACATACAGTTTGATAATTTCCTGTAAAGAAGATCCTACTGAGAACAATAACTCTCAAAGTATGATTGCAAGCTGTGAAGGTGACTCATAATGTTTTGTGGAGATGCAAGAGACCCCTCACCACACAACCCACTATATGTGCTCTGCTCACAAAAGGTAGGAAATGAGTGAGTTCAAAACAGAATCCCGACATGGCGCGTGAATGTGGCTGAGCTGCGACTCGGATGAATATGGCTGTGCACTTTTAGATTTGACATGATGCAATGCAGTCATGGTTTGTCAGATCCACTGTCTATAGCCTGTGGCTTACCAGGTGCCTGCAATCCAGATACCTTGCACAGGTGAAGCCATCTTAGCTCTCCGATTAGTGCTGTGGTCTTGCAGTGTGATTAAGAAGTGGGAGGTCTGGGGGACATGCGGATTTATTGCTGCTTTAGTATGAGGGTTGCAGCAGAGGCCTGTGATGACAACAATCGAACATTGCAGATTGTGGGAGGGGGGGATGAAGAAGCAGCTCTGTGTTTGAAAAAGATCCTTAAACTGGATAGTTAAAAGGATCATTTCCTTTTGTTTAATGTGCATTAATCTCATAACATTGCCAACCCAAGTGGACCTTTTTATGAAGAAGTGGAATACTTTCAAAACTAAACAACCTTCAGTATATGAAAAAGCTTCTTATTGTTAATAATACATTCTCAAGACACAAGTCTAAATTTCATTTTCAACATGAAGACTTAATTTAGTCAATAAATATGCAAACATACTTCTAGTCTTTAATAACATTATGGGAATATGGGATGTAATTCACAGGTCATGTGGAACAAAGAAAAACATTTACCAATGTAATGTAAACGTTGTTTTGCGCTGTGTTTCAAACGTTCTGCTTAAGTCTGTTGCGTCTTGCATTGAATTAACATCTATGCACAAGGCACTTTTGAGATATGTTAATCCACGTGAAATGTTTTTTTTTTGCATTTTGTACTCTTGGGTGTAATTTGTATTTTTGCAGTTACTTTTAAAGAATAAATTATATTGCACTCAAACAAAAGTAAACTGAATAATTTAGGTAATATATAACTGAAATAACTCAGAAAGCTAAACTATGGATCGACATGGTTCCCATGCTGACTGACTTTTTGAGCAAAATGAAAAACATAAAATATTTATCTTTAAAACTACAGCAATACAAGGAGAAAATGAATTATGAAACCATATCTCTGAACAGTATTAGGGTTGGAACAGCAACACAAAGGGTGGTGGGAGTCTGGAACAAGCTCTATAGTCATGTTGTTGCCCGGAGTAAGTCTGCATACTGTGACCACATTCCAGCAGAACAACAAGGCCTCTTGCGGCTTTCTTGTCAGCTGAGAATGTCACAGTTAGCCAGGCATATCCACCCTCCTAGACTTGACCCTGTTAACATCCATGGGATATGCAGAGATGACGTGGCATTTTCGCCAAGGCTCCACAAAGATATGAAACCTAATCCCACTGGACAGCATCTGAATCAAGGCATGCTTCACAGACCTTTTGCTTCCAACACTGACCGAACATGCTACGGGCTGGTGACTTTCACAGTAGGTCTCCTTTTGATAAGCATAACGAATTCACAGAACCTAGGTCACAGTTGTTCAATATAATTTCTGTGAACCTCCAACAAAAAGATGACCATTTTCCTGGCAATAACAAAAAATGATACGTCTTTCAATACACTTATCGAGCAAAGCACTCCTAATCTATCATCTTAAAAAAAAGATTGTAGAAAAATTAAGATGACAGTGGTAATCTCAATACACTAAAGTATAAGGCTAGGGAGGTTTAATATCTATTTGGAAATTACCTCAAATAAGGTCAACTCTGAAATCACCTACTGTGCTACACAGTCTGTTGAGTTATTAAAAGCAACTGACAATGTGTACTGAGTCTAAATCCCTCTCTCAAAGGCTTCCTGAAGGATTAGTACTGTAATGTAGTTTCCATACTCTGCCACATGTATTTCTTCTTTTAAAAAGTCTGTCAGGTGCTTTTGAAAAACACAGTAGTTGATGAGTCTACAGGTGCAGAATAACGGGCATGTCTCCAAAGTGTTCTGGATGAGAGATGGATGGGGGAGGATCTGTTTTGATCTTCCTCTTCTGCAATGGATCAACTCAACAACGTCTGCACACTGAAATTCCGTGAGATAAAAGGACCGTACTTACCAGGCCTAGTTCTGAATCATGCTGTGGCCTCAGTCTTACCTCTCTGTAGCTCAGCGTAGCAAGTCTTGTTTGAGGACAGGCAATATGAAACAATGACCCTGTTTGTGTGATGTGTCAGTTACCACAGATCAGTTAAGTGCAGTGATCAAGGTGTGGTTGAAATAGATGCATCAAGCATTCTTAGTTTACACCTCCCACAGCATACCAATAAAAGGTATTAATAGTCCAGTCATTTGTATACAGAGAAGGAGAAGAATGTTCATACACTCAGTTGCGAATTACGCATTTCTAGCACAGACAGCCTCTTATTTTTGCCATGTATTTATTTTGTAATGCCCCAATTCATCTCCTGACATACATGTTACTGTTTAGTTGTGAAAACAGAAACATCCCCTAGATGTGTGTTGTCATCTAAATGCCACCTAGGTGGTTGTTCAATTTCAGTTATGGATGAACTGGGTATCTTGGGTACTTTGGGATGCAAAGTGCTTTCTAAATACTTGAAATTATGATTATATGACTAACTATGACTAATTATCTGACTGTGTGATTTTGTACTGAGAATGTGAAGTTCATTTTCTTCAAAACAAAATACTCAATAGTTATTCTAACTGTCAACAAATACTGTACTTCAATTTTAAACAGTTTATTGTAAGTTTATACAAAACAATACAAGAAATGTCAAATGATAAAAGATTGACCAAATTACAAATGGCATTCATATTTATCTAAGCTTACATCAGTAAAACAAAGAGGCGCAATCTTATTGAAACTTTCAGCTTTAGAGCCGACAGCAGTGTAACAGTACAGAAGTGAGTAGGGGAGAAAAACAGCTACAACAACAGAAGAACATTTAACAACATCAAGGAAATGGTTTGTCTGTATTCACTCATTTTACCTTATGCCTAATGTTCAATATAAAGAAAAACATGTCTCACTTAGATTAAGTTTAAACTGATCTACTCTATTTGACTATTTGGTTTATCAATCAAGAGGATTGGATGGGTCTTAAAATTCACTTGACTTCACAGTCAGCTAAGCGGGGAGCTCCTCACTGTACTGTTACACTCAATTGTCTTTGTCACTGTGAAAGCTTGTTCAGCAGCAGTGTCTTTCCAGAAGTTACTTTTGATATAACATAATACCAGGAGTAACAAATGACACAGCACCTGGAATGGGTATTTTAAGAACTGCAAGAAAATAAGTTATGATGTTTTACACAAACCTTTTAAGAAAGGAATTTATAACAAGGCCGAAATGCAGTTTTGAGTTTTCACTCTTACATGATGTCATTTGTGTTGGTCAGGACAGGCTGTGCTGTAGTAAAATATTAACAATGTCACAGCAAGACACTCAGACCACACACAGCACAAGCTGCAGGAAAGTAACAAGATTAGAAACCCCACTGCAGGGGTATTTCACAAGGCACTTCAAAGATGACTATAAACATTACTTATTTATCAGACGTTTGTGTTCATAATGCAATACATTAAAATGTCAAAACAACCATTTATAAAATGCCAACAAAAAAGAAAAACCCTAAACAATTTCATGCCACTTGCAATTAATGAAACCCCAGATTAAATACATTTTCAAGAAATGAAAAGCAAAAACAAACAAGGCCACCAGAATGTTGTAATTTGTTTAGTATTTAAAAATTAGCAGTTGCATTGTCAATTTAAATGTTTAATTCACCTCAAAAACAGTTGAAAATCACGATGTCTCATTCTTTTGTTTTCATGTGGTAATTATCTTATTGGAGATCTTAATTAGGGACGTTTTACATACAGTATGTATAAGGATACCTGAACACGGGTTTCAAACACAGCAGCTACAGAGAGGAGTCAAATCAGTTCTCTGGCGTCAATTATACACGGTCACCCAGAAGGATGAAGTGACTGAGAGGCTCAGGAGCGATTTAACCTGAGACAAAGACTTAGGAAATGCACACAAGTGACAGAGTGTGAAAACACAGCCAGACACAGGCAAAGTTATTTTTTTAAATGGTTACATAACTGTACATGTTAAAGACCGCAGTTACAAAGGCATATAAACTCCTGAATTAATTAGTGCATCATTGCTATGTACTGTCAACTTAATAAACAAGTAATTTTCTACAAAAATTACACTAAAAGAAAATTGTATAATCTAACAAAAGGTTAAAAGTTCACTTGGTACATCTTAAGTGCAATATTTCTCTGGAAAACAGACATGAGGTACTAGTTGATAAAAAACATAGGTGTACAATAGCAAACCAGATTCCTAAATAATTTCTCACTCACATTTATTAGTTTCCAGTGGTTGTCAAAGTAATTCTGCTGAGCATCCATTTTTCAGCCTTTCATGCTCTGGGTTCCAGGTCCTCAGGCTTTACTACAGGGGGATGCTCCTGCATGCTTCACTACACTCTTAGGAGGAAGTTTACTTGGAGCCAATTATTTTGAATGTAACCTTGACCAGCATGCTGTGGTTACACGAATACAACAGAAAACATCTCTACGACACAGTAGGTTTCAGGGCCCTTTATGTGAAACAGGAAGAAAGCATCTCCAAAACCATGGGAATTCTTGATGGCTATAAATGTATCCTCTACTGCTCTAATTGTAGATGTCTGGAACAACTTGGTGATCTGGGAACATACTTTTCTCTCAGTAAATATGTACCATTAACTAGAATTACTGGAATGGCGTTTAAATAGCCAACTAATTCAGTCTGAATAGGCGATTTCATCAGCTTGCATTGAGCAAACTCATTTAATCTGTTGGCAAACTGAATAAAACTGCAAAAGATGCCTTTTAAATATATTTTTTTTAAATTGAGAAAATGACACCAGCTGGTGGACACATACACAAATAGTCTTCAAATGAATAGTTAGAAGCTTGATATATAAATGATGAGAACAGACTAAGTAACCACCCCCACACCGCACACACCACAGTCAATGAAACTGCGGTGCACCTGTGTGCTCTACCTCCCTCAGCTATCGGCTGAGTTCTCCTCTGCCTGTCAATCAATGTCAGGCAGACACCTGCAGCAGCGTGCCATCCTACTCTGGGACATCACGTTCCTGCCCTCATCTGCCAGCAGCGCGTCTCTTGTGTTCCCACACTCGGTGATGGTGTCCTCAACGCGGGTGATGTACAACCAGCAAATGACCACACCAAAAAACTGGAAAACAAAGCCACAGTGCAAATTAGAAACATGCCAATGGCCAAGATCAGGAGCATGGTGTCACGCCAGACATCCCTCCCTAGAGGGCGCTCCACTGCTCCTTTATTGTCTGTGTGATTAAGCTCTCCAGGTGTACCCTGTTAGCGTTATTATTTAAAGTCCTCGGGGCTCATTATTTGGTTAAGATGGCGCGAGGCCCGCCTAGCACCAGGAAACCCTACGTCCGTCTCCTGAGGGCATAGGCCTCATCCCCGACACCTCCCGCTTCCTGAGCCCGGGGTCTGGAGGATCTCGCCCCATCACCTTTGGACCTCCATGTTTTGTTTGTCCGTGTGCTCCCTCCTCCCGGGGATTTTAACTTTGTCGCATCCCAGGATGGATTCCTTGTTGATGGACTCTTGGACTGTGTTTTGACCTGCCCTTGGACCCGTTTGGATTTGGATGCCATTTTGTCTTCCCCGTACACTGCCTCACGGACTGTCACCATTATTTTGTGCACTATTAAACCCTTGTGTGTTTCCTTTTACCACGCCTCCTGTTTTCTCCAGCTCTTACCACATCGCATAGGGTCTTCTACAAGATCGGACACGGATTTCAGTCCGTGTTCGTGACACATGGGGACAGCCCTGGAGTCTCACAAATGTTAGGTACTCGAAACCACACTTCTACTGTAGCCATCCCTTTGTTAACTTTGCATGCCACAGAGGATACTTGTCTGAAAGTGTAATAGCACCTGCCTAATAGTTTTAATAACAAGAAAGGAAGGACCTAAAAAGATGAGGCAGGAAATATTCTCATTCACATTAAGGACTGTACCCTGAAACGTGTGATCTTTACCAGAGTATACGCTTGGGTCCACAGGGAAATAGCCTTTCACTCATTTGTTCCCACCAAAAAAAACAAAAACAAATTGCTACCTACCCGTCTTTGTGATCTCTGGAAGCTGTTGTTTTGCAATTTTTAATTCACCACCATAAACAAAACCCACATATGTTCTTAAAATAACTTTAAGTAAAACAAATTTAATATTTTTTCAGTTTTCATACATTTTGGTAGAACGGAGAATTGTCTAGAGACATTGAAAATACAGCAAAGCTAAAAAGCATTTCTTTTGTTCTTCAGGGTGCTTTCCCTTTCAGGCCTTTAAAGAGTTTGCATTAAAGAATACAGTAAAAGAGATACAAATGTCAAATCCATCTTTACACAAAGATACTGTAACTTCCTATTTTTCACTACCTATCTCTGTGGTAATAATAAGATTTTTTACCAAAATATTACATTTAGCATTTAAGGATGTTTTTGCCATGTAACCTCTGAGGCACAACAGCCGGTAATCCTCAGAATTGTGAGAGCTTGTTTTTATTTTTAAGATTTTTTAGCTCAGATCCATTGAGCAAAGCTGAAACCCAGAGATGGCATTCACTGCATATTCCTCTGCTCTGCTTAAACAAGATTCAGTGCAAATTGTTCTTATAGTGCTGACAATGGAGGGGCTGTCAGTGAGGTCCATAGTGTTAGTTCTATGAATGGTTCTGATTAAGATCAGAGTAAAAAGAACCCAAAAAAGTCACAAAAGCATTACAGATGTGGGCAGATATTCAGAAAAAAGATTTTTGAAATTATTATTATTTTTTACTTCTAACCTGAAAATACTTAACTCATTTAAGTGCATTTTTTAACCCCAAAATTTAACTCCAAATGTATATAACCTTTAAGTACTGTATAATGCTGACTTTCCATGGTGTAACAAACAAGTATACCTGTACATAGTCTTTCAGAACACACAGGATACAAACAACCAGATATGAATCAATAAGAAACTAAATAACAGAATTGTGCACAATATACCGTTTATAAACAGTTGTATTGGTCTTCCACTGACTATCTAAAATCTCATGTTAAAGCTCTGAATTTGTGGGTCCATCTTGTTTAAAATGTGAGTTCTGGCTGCTAGTACTAAAGACTGTTCTGTTTTTCATCTAGGAAGTGAAAAGCTGCAGCAATATTTCTCTAATGACATCTTACACTTTTCCACCCATCAATTTTCTAACAACTTCTTCCATTTTCAGGGTCACAGAGAAGCAGCAGTCCATCTTGGCAAGCAATGGGCACAAGACAGGGTCCACCCTGGACAGGATGCAAAGCGGCAATATTGACACCTGCACCACTGTGTCACCTACTTCACACTTGTGTTCTTTTTCATTTATTCAACTACAACCCAAAGGTTAATATTTAATGCTCAGTGCAAAAAGTATATCCGCAACGGTCTTCAGATGTAATGAAAGCGCCGTACATTAGACGTATCGTTTTGTTGAATTGTGTTCATTGTATTGTATGAATTGCAAACAGATATGAAAGAAACTTGACTGGAACCCCAAATGTTTAAATGTCTATAGTACTGCTCTGGTCACATTGAATGTCAACAATCACCACATCATCATGTAACTGAAGTGATACGAAGAAATCATCTGTCTTTTTGTTCCTGTACAGATTGCAAAACGTTTTTTCCCTATCAGTAAAGGTTCAAGTTAAATGATAAACAACGGGTGTCTAATCCTGGTCATGCATGTTTTCCTGTCTCTCTAAAGCAGCAGCACCTGAAGAGCCAGGGGAAGCTGTTACCTCTGTGCAGTTCAACAAGTCACCACCTGCCTTCGCTGGTTAAGAGGGGTGTTGGAATGAAACCCTGTCAACACACCAAGACTGCAAACTCCTGTCATAAATAAACACACAATAATTATTCTGTTACCATTTCCTGCGGAATCTGAGGCCTACAGATTTTTAGTCACCATACTTGACTAGGAGGCCAACTGGTCATTCCAACTGACTTGATAGCCTTCAAGCTGTTGGTATTATCATCCACTTTGGTAACAATGCCAGCTGCAGCATTATTCATGTCCTGCTTCTGCAATTCACCATTACATTTCTACCTAAAAGGACCTTCAAAAAATAAAGCACATGGCTATTAAAAACTGCAAAATATACAAAGCAGGTAATTAAGTTCTTTTATCAGTTCATCAGATAAATCAGAACGTATTAGCTTTCACAGAAGAAATATGCTGATGGTTTCTTTTGCTGATGTCTGCTTGCATTGTAATACTTCATGATGAACAGCATACCAGCATAATTAGAACACATTTTCATCCAAATGAAAGACTCGGTAAAGAAATGGAAAGGTCTGTGATAAGGTCAATCTGGAAATGAACTAACAATAATTGAGAAATTACTAATGTGCTGCAGGGTTTTTTTTTACATCGTGGAGCAAATGAACTGAGTCACCATTTCAATTCTAATCTAAACACAAACGACAATGCTAGTGCAGTAATTTCAGTTTCATATTAATAAAGGGTGAACTTTTCCACTGAATTAGCAACACAATTCCAAATACAAACCATTACTTGATCCTGTTCTTAGAACTACAGACTTACAGTACCAAACTTGTTCTATATTTACACAGCAGGTGCTTTCCTGAAAGGTGATGTGTAAGTCAAAAAGACTTCTTCTTCCACTTAGCGAGCTGAACTCCCTCATAAAAACAATTACACCGTTATTCATTATAGATGTTTTATAGTTCTACTACTGTATGGAAAACGTGAAAGAACGTTGTCAGTAGTGGCTGGTGTCACTGTGCCCACAGATGTTCAGACTGGACTACACAGTTAATACTGTATGTTAGCCTTCTAAATGTCATTTATTTAGTAACATAAATCATTTTTCTCTTATTTGCAGTAAGTACTTAGAGGATCACAATAGTTTGTTTGATGGTTTTATTGATTTTACTCTGCATTTTATACCATATAAACATAAGGAGTAGTACGTAATCTTGTGGCACATTGTGCAAAAAGCAAAAATTAACTATGTCAATCAAGAACTACCTACAGTATAAAGGATACTGTACTGTAAAGTGTTAATATAGGGGGCAGAGTGGTGGCACGGTGGCTTAGGATCTGCACTTGTGGCTGGAAGGTTGCCGGTTCAAATCTCGCGGCCAGCAGAGGAATCCTACTCCATGGGGCCCTAAGCAAAGCCTTCAACCCCAACTGCCCCAGGGGCGCCGTATAAATGGCTGACCCTGCGCTCTGACCCCGAGCTTCTCTCTCCCCGGCTGTGTGCCTGTGTGTCTCATGGAGAGCAAGCTGGGCTATGTGAAAAGACAAATTCCAAATGCAAGAAATTGTATATGGCCAATAAAGTGATCTCATATAGGTCTTGAAATAAATGTTATTATTTGACAAAGTAATTGACCCTGGAGACTAGCACTAGAACATTCTAATGTGGCAGTATCCTGGAAAAAGCTTTAACGTGACATTACACTCATTGAATTTCAATATCCCAGAGAGCACAGGCTGGACCAGTTTCTTAGATTTCTGCTGATGGCAGTAACTGGCTATTCCACTACTGCACTGTGTCAGTGGAAGTGAAAGAGCGCTGCCCCTCAGCTACATGAAACACATTTAATCATGCCATCAAAGGCCAGTCCTAACTCTATTCTCCTCACACAGCCGCACAAAATTAACTGACAGGCGTGGCAGCAATGCACTCGGGAATCGAAGATGAAAGTGCTCTGGAGGCTGTGCTGAGATTAAAATCTTTTTTCCATCACAGGTGAAGCAAGAACCGAACAGTTCACTTAATGAGGAATGTGTGTCTAAAATGCAGAATGTGTTAACTCTAAATAGAGCATATGTGAATATTTTAAGAACAGGAATACTCAATACAGCATTTTTCCAAGATAACATGAAATTTGCAATTAAATGACAAATACCATGTTTTTCTACAGAAGCTTGTGTTAACCAAGTGAACAGTGTATGGCCTACAAATACACTGCAAAGGAACAAATTCACCTCTTGATCTCTTTCTGTCCCCTGCTCCCGCCTCTCACTCCTCTTCCCTCCCAACCTTTGTTCTCCCGCTACTTTACCTTTTCCTACTGCCCTGTCTCTCTCACACCTGAAGAAGGCTCCACGGCCGAAACGTTGTGTTCTCTTTCTTCTGTTTTTCAGCACGGAATAAACCTATTACTTGTTCATTTGCAGCCTACGCATGCTGACGCAGCTACCCACCTGAACTACTACAAATACACTGCTTGTGTAGTGTAGGAGTGAACTGCATCAGTCTCTAGTGGTTTATGCATTATTTGCGCAAGGCAATCGTTATGGTAATGGTAATATATTAATTTTATTTTTGATAATATCGAGAGTAGTATAACAGCCTTTAAGACAACACAAATGGAGGCAAAAAACATATATACATATTTACACAACCTAATTCTTCTTGCCTAAACAATGAAAATGTAAAGTACACTACACGTGAAACTGAGCACGTCTCAGAAGAGGTTCAATGCTGGAAAAATAAGCAAAACAAATCCACAAATCTCCTATAAGGTAATTATAGGAGAAATTACCAAATTCTTTACTTTTGTATAATAATATAATACTTTTTTCAAGAAGCATATGCAATTGCACACATACTGTATATTACACAACAAAACAAAAAGAAAGTGGATAAAACACTCCAAACTGACTTAGTAAAATTAAAAGTAGAACTAAGTTACACATTAAAAACCTTAGAGAAAATATTTGTTTTCTTTAGACATTTGAAGTAAGAACAGTTTTTAACCACTTATCTAAAACTTCTTTCAGAGCTTTTATTATTTTCCCCAATGGAACCTTCTCTCTCATACAGAAATATATAACAGGCTGATTGCAATTTTGTCACAACTACTGTAAGTATTAACCCTTAGTAAAAATCGTCACACAGGAGTAAGTCATACAATACTTTCCCTTTCTTTACTCTTGCTGTTCTTCTCAGAAGAGCTCCTTCAATGTGAAAGCTGCAGATTATATACACAGCAGCCATCTCCTAAAGATCATCCAACAGAACCTGTTTTTACCTCAAAACATCTTGGAAAGATAAATGGTTTTCCTTCTTATAAATGGCGTTACAGAAATGTTTCATTTTTCTGCACTCAGGAAAAGAAGAAAATCTTAATTATGTGCCAAGAAAGGAAACAAACGTAGGGCTTAGGTGATTTACTTATTTTATTTAAACAAATTCCCCACCAGTCATTCTGCCTTTTCACATGTAGACTGCTCATTTGCATGTGAGTCCAATTCAAATTAAGGATAATTACCAACTGTATAATATTAAATTACCATAGCAACATTTATTGGTTTTGAGGCACTGCAGGTTTGACTGATGTGAGGTTCTCCTCTCATCACAGAAACCTCATTCCCTACTAGTGCAGGTATTGTGAAACATAGAGCACAAAACTGTAATAATGATTATTGGAGCAACTTCTATGCCACCCAGAACTGAATTTCTGTATCAGTAGTTCTGCTTAACTCCTGCTTAACTCAAATTCACACCCGCGATTGTGGAAGTAATAGTGAAAGGTAGGGTCAAACAAAACATGTGAACATTTCTTGAGGGCAGCATGTTCTTCTGTCATGGATTCCAAACTGAGTTCCTATATACATGTGCAATTCTTACAATTTAGTTACAATACATTTAGTTACACTGCAATTCTTTGACCTGCTGTACATATTGAACATGGCCTTTTATGGATAGTGTTAGAATGATGATTGAGTGCAGTATAGTAAATATAGCATCCTGTAAAGAAATCCTAGAACTGTCTCATTTAGACCAACTGAATAATTGAAGGACTGAGAGCAATACTCCTAATGGACCAAATTAGCACCAAGACACTTCTTGTAAACATGCAAAGCTGACTAAACCAAGCCTCCAGAGATACATTTGTGTATGAGATGTATTTATATTTGAACGTTCTCAGATGGAAACTATGTCTTTGTTAATTTGTAGCACTAATATTTTGTTATTTTCGCCTTGAAATGTGTTTCTTGTTAAAAAACAGAAAGGGAATGAACAACACAATAGTAATAATCACACAATTTATGCTGAAGTAGACCACAAAAGGCCTTTTAGTTGCGGTTTCACCTTAGTTCTTAAGTTTAATACATAAGAATATTATGTTTAATACATAAGACAAAATTTACAAATGAAGCACAGAACTTACTATTTGACCTGCCGTGCTTATTTAGCTGCTAGTAGCTTACTGATCACAAAATCCCATTTTTTTCTAGAAGCTTCCCAGAGACCTGGCTCCATTAACATGGGACAGCAGATTGTTCCAAAGCGGGCTTTGTGTTTAAAGGAACCTCCTGCTCCAACTTCCTGAATTCATTTAATCATAGCCATCATGTTCTTGATTTGCTGATGAGTATAAAGTACTTTGGGTTCACTTTGTGTACTGTTCAGAATTTTGGATATTGGATATTATTTTAATACCGAATGCTAATATCAGGTTAAAGCATTATTATTCAGGTAGTTTATGACAAAACTATATGACTGTACTTGTTGGATCCTACAGTGAAATTCAATAAGAAATCACACCTACCTGGGGTAGCAGAATACCAAGTAGAAGTCCCGCCATAATTGTGTAGTTGTCCAGAAACCAGAGAAAGACTGCGTCTGTGCACCCCCGTACATGGATAGTAGTCAGCAAATCAAGGCGCTGCACAGAAACAACAGCAGTGTTCCTTAAAATATACACTTTTCTAAAACTAATGATTAGATTTGAGCAGGTACTGCTATCTAGAGACAACCAAGTTTTGCAAGACTTTCAGTATCTGTACTCAACCTGCTTTAGTAAAGAATCTAGTTGTACAAATGAAATTTATTTTTATATAAGCATTGGCAAATAATAACAACAACAATATAATAATAAACATTTCCCATGCTGTAACTTTCTTGTACCATCCAACAAGATTTCAGCATATGCTTTTTTATATGATGAGCTTAACTGTAAAGCAACAACTGCAGGTACTTGTACAAAGACAGCTACTCTTATAATTCTTTTTAATGGCTTACAGATACAACGATTTCCATTTTCAGCATGAGTGGCTAATGTTAAATACACTTGTCCTGGAATGCGTGTATCAGTGGTCAGTCCTTCTGCTGAGCTGTGATATGAGGTTTAGTCCTCATTTTAAGCTTTAGTAAGCATTTGCCTTGAAATTTTAAATGAACTACTACAGTGATTACATCTGCTGGAGGCTATAACATATTTAGCTTTCTATATGAAGTTCTTACATTCTTTAGAGTTTTTCTATTGTCGAATCATCATACATAACCTTCATCAAGGCATTTCTCTGTGAATTGGTTAAGAAACAGCAGATTCCAAAGTTACACTAAGCGTGTATACAAGAATTGATTTTGCATAACTAAATCAAAAAAGGCACAGCTTACTAGAAGTATTTTTAAAAAGTAAGATTATCACTTCTTCACATATATTTTCCTATTTGCCTACTATACAGAGGTATAGTAAACTATATTATTTTTATATTTTTATAACATATAAAATATTTTTATACTTTTATATTACAACATAAAAGTAGTAATAACACTACTATTTGCTATTCTGAAAACCACATCAGACATATTTGTCAATTCATGGAATTAAGATCCATGTTGGCTAATAGAGAATTAACCAGACAATACAGTCTGGGGATAAAGAGCGAGGTAGCATTCAAATACAACAGGAAGAAATGACTGGAAATCATTTGGTCCAACGGCATTATTTTATCCAGCATGCCAGCAGCCATATCACCCTGCAACTCACACCTGGCAGCCCACTGAAGCTCAGCAGGTGTGAGCCTGGTCAGTACCTGGAGGGGAGACTCCTGGGAAAAACTAAGGTTGCTGCTGGAAGAGGTGTTAGTGGGGCCAGCAGGGGGCGCTCACCCTGCGGTCCATGTGGGTCCTAATGCCCCAGTATAGTGATGGGGACACTGTACTGTAAACAGGCGCCGTCCTTCGGATGAGACGTAAAACCGAGGTCCTGACTCTCTGTGGTCATTAAAAATCCCAGGGCGCTTCTACCCCGGTGTCCTGGCCAAATTTCCAATTGGCCCTTACCAATCATGGCCTCCTAATACTCCCCCTCTATGAATTGGCTTCATCACTCTGCTCTCCTCCCCACTGATGGCTCATGTGTGGTGAGCGTTCTGGCGCACTATGGCTGCCGTCGCATCATCCAGGTGGATGCTACACATTGGTGGTGGAGGGGAGTCCCCATTACCTGTAAAGCGCTTTGAGTGGAGTCTCCAGAAAAGCGCTATATAAGTGTAAGCAATTATTATTATTATTATCTATATAGACTGTCAGACCAGGAACATTCTTAATGAATGAATTAAATAAAGATGGGATAACTTGCTTTTGGAATGCTTTTCTTTATTTATGACACCTTGTACACAGATATATCCCGTCTCTTCTTCTGTATTTGATAAGAGTACCCTTATCTACATCTCCTTAAATTGAGGTAATGACCTGAATGAACTTTGCTTAAACCACAAGAAATTATTTTCCTTCCTCACAATAAAATCGTAGTTTGATTTAGAATTTGCTAGATTTGCCTCTATTCCAGCAAACTGCAACCATCACAAATTTTAGTAGTATTCCCCTCAAAACGATATGAACAATTACCAAACAGATTATTGAATCCATAATGAATAGTCTCACCTCTTCTTTAAGGACTTTGTATCCACAGAGTGTGTTGGCAACTTGCTTTGGCTGCAAAGACAGAGAAACCAAAAGCCTTTGAATGATTCATGCATTTCATGAACAATTTTTTATTGATTTTGAATAGAAAACCTCAAAACAGAAAACATAAACATAAAAAAGTGGCTAAATCAATGTTTCAAAAAGGAGAGTAAGCAACAAGCCACACTGTCACAGCTGTTGCACTAGGGAAATGTAATCTAGCAGTGCTGAATTCTGTAAGAACAGCTTCTGAAAGCAATGGGCATCTCAGTCACCACTCGGTCTCATTAAATGTTTTTTGTTTAAATTAGACCTGCAGATAAAAGACATTGTGCCTAAAGGCACAGCAACTGTCGTTGAGACGGGGCATCTTAAGGCTCAACAGCACAGTCACACCAGTAACATTCGAAAGCACATTAGTCACATACACCCAAAAGCTCTTGATTACAGGACACTCCCAAAAACACACAGTTAGCTACCGCACACACCCATAGTGTATCTGTGACATAGGGGATCGGGAACAGTCATCTGGAATGATTCATGTATGTTTGAGGGCAAGGATAATTTTGTTTGCTTAACCTTCATCTCTCTTACAGCTCAATGTTAAATTCACAATTTCTAGCCCTCTATATCTTACTGTTTGCATCAGTTCACCCTGAATGGAATATCCTTAAAATACATCAGTCTAGTCGTTCCAACTGTTTATTCTGTCCACCGATCCAATCCTACACACCCCAAAGTTTTGATTTAAAATATCCATTCACTTCTTGGGAATTTCAATACCCAAAACTGGAGGTGGTGTCTTGGAACAGTGTTCTGCAGGCTCAGAAAATTGGGATGATTGTACTGACGGACCCACGTCCTGTTTGAAAGCAGAAAATCTCTACTGTCAGCAGGAGTCACGGAACAAGACTGATAAATAATTTTGTACTGCCTGGGGATGAGTACACAAAATTGCGTTATTCAATTTAAGAACAAAACCTGACACCAGGTAAAGGAGCACCAACAGAAAATGTAATGTTTAAATAGAGTTATATATGAACTCCTGGGTAAGAAGTGTCAGCAAAAGGCAGGCCTACTCCTTAAATCAACTAACTGGATCTTCAGTGTCAACAGTGGAGCACCCTTTAAGACCACAATGAAGATGTGTTGTGTAAACTTGCAAAACTGGGTTAAAAAAAAAGGTTCTTGGTAAACAATGGACGACTTAAGCCTTGTTCTTGGAATTCAAATTGGCAAAATAGATTTCCACTCCCCTCCACCTCAAAGAGAATGAAAAAAGCCGATCAAGGATAGAAGGAGAAAAAAACAATGTTAATTAGCCGGGGGTCCTTGTGAAAGAAGGCTAACAAGGTTTGAGAATATATTAACATTAAACAGATTCAATACAATGCTGTATAATAAACACATACTGTAAGCAGACACTGCCTGCAGGGAAGAATCTCACAGGACAGGCATTCTAGAATATTACATGGTTAAGGTTTTGTAGCCTCTAAAGGAGCATTCTAATCCACTGCTACATCAGAAATGATGCCTAACCAGTCAGTCAAAAATGTGAAAGATTTTTTCAATCCCAAATAAGCACGAGCCCTTTAAAAAGAACATGATCTCCTGTCACTGAGAGGAGAGTGTTTAGCTGATAGTTATAAAAGTGTTTAGTACCTGTTACAAAGTAATCAATCCCAAATAATTCAAGTAAGGTAGCTGCGTCAGCATACGTAGGCTGCAAAGGAACAAGTAAAGGTTTATTCCATACTGAAAAGAGAAGAAAAGAAACACAACGTTTTGGCCATGGAGCCTTCTTTGGGTGTGTTTCTTCTCTTCTCTTTTCAGCGTGGAATAAACCTTTACTTGTTCCTCTGAATCCCAAATAATGACTAAAGAGTTCAGCTTTCAGCAAAGTCAGAACAGAACATTGCTGAAAGCTGATCCGCACTCTATTAAGAAAGGAAAAACTTTAGACTGGTCAGTACCGCGCACTCTAAATATTTCATACTGCTTCCTTCTCTCCTCTGGGTTTGTTCTCCCACCTACAGTACCAGTTAGGGTCTCTAAGGCTACAGATTATTCTGCACTGTCCTTGTCATGGTAAGCACACTCTAAATGCAAGAGCTTCAGGCTGTGTGACTTCTGTATAAAATAACACATCCATTTGAAATTGAACCACTAAAGATGTCACCAGCAAATTCTCGCAACACTTTTACCAGGCATTTACATTGCCTACTAATGAGCATCTTCTCTATGTACAGTAATAGGGGTGTCAGACATACTGTAGTTGGGAGGGCCACAGAGTCTTCTGGCTTCTGTTCCAGCTAAACTCTGAGCTATGAACAGTAATTAGTGTAATTCCCTAATTAACTGGATACACTAAAGATGCTGTATCAGCAACAGCATCTTTAAAACTATCAACTGTGAAATAATAAGTTTGATTAAGAAAACGATTAGATTAGGTCTCCAGTTATAATTAAAACAGAGACACTTTGGCCCTGTGGGAGCTGAGCTTGACTATTACCTGAAATACAAGATCAACTTTGAATAATGAATGTGCATTCCCACACACGTGATAACTTTTTATAGAGATAGAGTTTATAGAGTTGGTAAACTTATTTATAAAGCATTTCTGTTAGCATATTACTTTTATAAAGACAATAAAATACAGTTAAATATCACACAAAATAGCACTCTGATTGAACTGTGTGTCTGACTACCATGGAAAGAGCATGATGAACATGAGATGCAAAGCCACAGTGATATTTACCCCTATGCCCCAGGTGACTGCAGACGCTACTAAACTACAACAACAAATCAAATATGTCAGAACCCCAGTCTGCCTTATACAACAAATTGCATTGTGAGTCCATAATATAGCAATATACCAACACAGATCGCAGTTTGGTATCAGCTATTCAGTTGGTAACTTTCTCTATTCTTTATTATTCTCTATTCTCTATTATTAGTCAATGTTCTCTGTAAGACTATTTTGGGGAAAACTAAGGAGTAAAACTTAAATTTGCTCTTAAATGTCAGACATATTATTTGTTATTTAAAGTTCAATTGCAATCTTATTCAAAAATTCCTGACATTTTCATGGTAACCTTACTCGATGTTGATAGGAGCCGCAGTTATTTAAAAGCCTGACGCTAAGGTCCAGAGATACTGTAAAATACCAGTGTCTGAAACCAGGAAGCATTCCTCTGGAAAGAAGTTTTTAATACCGTCAATAAACTTCATAACAATAGTGCCTGGATAGCCTAAGCACATTTTTTAGCTCTTAATCCTTCAATGTGTTCTTCTAAAGAAGAGTACCTGCAGCCTAAAGATAAAAGAACACGACTCACAACACCATGAAGTGCACCTGACACTAAAAGACCGTTAACAAACTCTAATTTGGGATTAAAAATGCAAAACATTAGTAACCCATTCTATTTTTTAATAGCACTTTTTACCAAGAAAGAAAGCTAAGCTAAATTTGCAAAATACTGCATTGGAAAGATTTTAGAGCCAATCAGCTAATGAAAGAATGATTCTGTGTCCTGAAAATATAACACTTCTACAGCAACCCATTTCATTTGACTCTTACCAATCCCTGGAATTTGTTCTAATACACCTGTAAAACACCACAAACATCAATAACCCACCTTGAAGTTCTCAGAGGATATGGACAGAACAGAAAAATAACGCGAGGTGGCACTGCCTTTTGGATGGCTAGTGGAACCGTACCTCAGCTGTAAGAGATGGGCTGAACTAGTGCACTACTTTCCAACCCTGGGGCATTCTTCACGCCCTGATCTGTGGTGACCAGCTGAAGCTGATGGCGGCCATGACCTCAGCCACGACCTGGCTTGAAGGTGGCTGTTCCCGGTGGGTCACCAAGCACTTGGCTTGAGGCGGGTATGGTAGCGGTACGTGCAGCGAGCGGCCCAGCCCCTTTTAGGATCTACACCTCCAACATGCAAAGGCAGAACGCGTGACATGAAGAATGGTGGGCAGACAAGCCAAAGACATGGCCTAATGATATCCAGTTTCTTCACTGCCAGAAAGGCTGTTTACAGCTCGGGTACCCAAGCCCCAGTCCCTTTTGTATCTATGTATAGGGGAGGCCCTGGTCAAGGAAAGTGAAATAGTGAATGTCCATTGGGCCAATAACATCATATTCAGTTCCATCCTGAACACCCTATTAGACAAGCTTGGGATTCTACCAACATGTAACGAGGTGATAAAAGCCATCAGACAAGCGAAGCAGAACAGAGCAGCAGGGGGGTGTTACATTTTTAAGAGAGCTGTACAGGATCTCACTGTTCATGTCCCAGTTATATAAATCTGGAGTGAAGAATGAAGAGGTTATTCTCAAGGAAGGGGACAAATCCAACTGGAAATCCCACAGGGCTCCCTCTGCAAGATCAGGCTCCTTACCCAAAGTGCCACTGCGGGATCAGACCATCAAGAAGCACGGCTAATGTCTAAGCTCACCAGCCTCTCTGCTTATCGCTCTTTGACTTGATCTAGGTGTGTTTGACTCTGTGAAAGATCCTCCTGAAATATGGATGTCTTTCAAAATTCATTCTTTGGGTTATATCTCGTAAACATCTCACCTTGGTCAACAAAAATGCCATTAAGAATGAAAAATCTTCAGTATTACTGGCACATGACCTATCCTCAGCATTTTGTGCAAGTTCCCAAGCAAAGAAACAATCAACCTCCACATTCTGAAAATCTTTTCTTTGGAGCAATTGTTTACTCTACTTCATACTTTGTGCACACTTTAATTTATGGGTTTTAAAATTGTACTTTATCAATGGATATTAAGCCAACTGTTAATATATACTAAAATATACTGAGAGGCATTTCAAATGTTTTAATATTATTGGCGTCATTACCCAGTTGTTCTGTTTTTAAACTCTCTTATAAAGTATGGTGCCTCACAGATGGAACAGGATACTGCAGCTTCTACATACAGCCACAGGGTTAGGGTTATAAATCAGACAGTGTTTAGGAAGATTAGGGCTTTACTATGTAGAGGCTAATCCTCT